ACTCAGGCCAACCCCTCTGTGTCAGAGTAGAACTGTGCTCCATAGGGTTTTCAATGGCTGATTTTTCAGAAGTAGATCACCAGACCTTTCTTCCAAGACATCTCTGGGTGGACTCAAACTGCTAACCTTTTGGTTAGCAATCAAGCACTTTAACTGTTTGCACCACCCATGGACTAATACAATAACTCTAAGAAGTAGACAATATAAGCTTCATTTACAGATAAAGAAAGGCTCAAAAAACCCATTGCTATTGAGCAATTCCTACTCATAGTGACCCTATAGAACAGAGTAGAACTGCCCCATACAGTTTCCAAGGCTGTAATATTTATGGAAGCAGACTGCTACATCTTTTTCCTGTGAAAGAAAGGCTCAGAGAGGTTCAATTACTTGCCCAAGGCCACATACAAGGTTACAAAGCGTTATAGACAAAATTGAACCTAGGACTGCGTGACTCCAAAGGTCACACTCTTACTCCATCAATTTCATTTTCATGCATATTATTATTATTATTTTAAAGGTTTAGTATCTTGGAGAATATCTAAAAGATGTTTTAGTGGTCAGACTGCATTTCCCTCTAGAAGTAGCTTGTTTTCTCAGTGACACATAAACATAGCACATCAAGGATACAAGCTCTTCCTCTGGAAAATGGAGCTTACCTTTAACAGAAATATTGAAAGGCTTTTCCACCATCCCAGCCACTGTGTTCACACTGCAGACCCAAACTCCTGAGTCAGGGGGCAGGATCTGGTGGATGGTGAACGTGGCCACTGAGAGATGATCCGTACGGTTAAAGTCTTTTGGCTGCAAAGGTCACACACAAAAAATAAAAGCACTAGGGAGGTATAAACACAAGGCCCATAACACTGACTCCCTCTCATTGTTTAGTGAGAAGTTTTCCAGGCAAGATTAAGAAGCCAAGTGCAATGCTAGTATAAATACTGGCTTATCTCCAAAGTTATTGTAGTAGCCCTGAAAGTTTATGTTGGATCAATGCCCTCTCAAAGCCTGCTGTTGTATTTGTGTGTTTGAGAGTGTGAGGTAAACACTCACAAGCAAGAAGTCTATTTCCTTCTAAACTGCTCCTGGTAACATTTGTTCCTTTTCAGTCTAATACAGAGATGAGTGTTTGAGGGGCTGTTGAGCGCCGTGTAGTGGGAAAAGCCAGGGCACTGAAAACACATGGACCTGACTGAATTCACATTCCAACTCTGCCACTTTTTATCACTTCTTAGTTACTTAAGCAAGCCGGTTTCCACTCAGCAGAAGGACGATAGGTAATGGTAAGTGGAAGGATCCCTGGTGGTGCAGTGGTTAAGTGCTCGGCTGCTAACCGAAAGGTCGGAATCAACTCGTCAGCAATGGGTTTCTTTGGTTTAAAAGTTAAGGGAGATGTTATGGAGAGTACGGTCAGCTCTCACTATGTGGTGGCAGCTGTTACTTCCATTAACTTATGAAACATCTAACAAAATTTATGGGTTGTTTGAGCTGAATAGTAGTAATGGTACATTCTACATATTCTGTTCCCTAGCAGTCACTTGGTTCTGTCTTCGGGTCAAGTTGTTTTTCAGTTATCTTTGAGAGAAAAGTAAGGTAACTATACTATTTCAAAGTCTTCAGATAAGAGCACACTTAAATGTCTTGAGAATCACTTATGACAGAGAGACATTTGGGGTGGTTCTTGTCTCTATTGCATTTGAAATTGTTGGGGGAGAAAAGGGAAGCTTGTTGAAGGGGAGCTTAATCCTTTCCAGGAAAGGAGAACTGTCGTGATTTCGGCCTTGTGAATGGTAGACACAAGCAAGGAGGACAAAGTGAAGATGTGAGGGAACCTGAAGGATGCATTCAGAACTAAGGGATTCTGTGTATACTGGTTTCCGAATTGGAAACTTGGGGAGCAGATTCAAGAGCTGTCTACCTAGAGTCAAGTCAATTATCCTGAACTGGCCCCTTCTATACTCCCCTAAATGCTAATAAAGAGCAAGATAGGAATAGAGATAGGAATAGACCATTCGTCTCTCCTGGTAGCAGTGATCTCCTGCTGAGTCTTGGGTTTTAAGTTGCAACACCCCTGCCTGGCCACTGGACCATCTCATTTACCGCTGATGTGGGGAATTAGAGATGTGGTAATATGTGCAGCAGAGCCATGTACTCCTCATAACACACAATTCTGCAGGATGAGTGCCATCCTGAACACTCAGCTCGATTGGTGAACACATATTCCCATTCAGTGAGGCTGCTCTGCCTCCCAGGAACTGGCATTTTGTCAAAGCTAACAACAGCCTGGCATTTTGTGAAAGTTAACCACAGCCTGACCCAGGAGGATGTAAGCCCTGCATAGAATCTAGACTTTAGTGGGATGATTACTGCACTGAAAACATCCAGCAGTGTCAGGAGGTCAAATTAAGCATGGCTCTTACACGGAGCACTGTCCCATCCGGCTTCACCAGGGTCATTTCTTCATTAGCAGGTAGCGGCCAGCCAGAGGATTTGCAGATGGGACTAAATTTACCACTGTTTACTTCTATGTGATCTGGCAAATCCTCTATCCTTGGGGTCATCATTGGCATACCTGAATGAAGAAAATATCACTGTGAAATCAGTCTTTAACACAGCAGTAACAGTAATAATAAAAATAGCTAGCATTTAGCAAGTCATGCACTAGGCAAAAATCTTTGTAAGTATTTTATTATTTTATAGACACATAATAAACTCGTGAGGTGGGTTTTTGTTGTTCCCATTTTATAGATGAAGAAACTGAGGTTCAGAACCCAGATTCAAACTCAGGATTGTTTGAATCCAGAGCCCACACTCTTCACGACAATACTGTGTCCCCCAGTGGACCTGGGAGGTTCAGTCTCAATTCTAAAATGATCATCATGACCAGATCTCCTCGTATCTTACTCTTCAGTCCCCCTCTTGCTTTTTAAGAGAATTAGTACCAAAAAAAACATTATTTCTTCTTCCTTTTAGCAAACAACCCCATGATGTTGCTGACTGACCGTATTACCCTCAATTTTGATATATGAGAGGTATATCTCATTGATTGGAAAGCCGCAAGTGGGAGATGAATAAGCAGAACAAGATGATCATAAGTGTTGGTGTTTGCACAGCCCTGACTACAGTGTTACCTTGCTTTACCTTCTTTCTCACACTGGAGCCCTTGCCGTCCTGGAGAGCAGAGGCATCCTTGGAACCGATCACACCATTCCCCATTGGTGCACCTGCACCTAAGCCTACAGTCTGGCCCATAATAACCAGGCTGGCATTCTGCAAACAAAGACATCAAAACCCAGTATTAATACAGGCGAAGGGAGAAGACTAAGGCCGTAGATGGCTAGTTTGTTGCTGTTGTTTCCTTTGTCTTCCGTTTATCAGCCTTGGGATTCATAGAAGGCAGTGTGTAATTTATCTTAGTTGCCAGGAACTTAACAGGTTGGGGAGTTCTGCTTCCAGGAAAACTGAATAAGTGCTGGCTGGCCCCTCAACCACGCATGCTCAGTGCAGACTCCGAGCAGTCCGGCTTATAACCTGGGCCCAGAGACACATTCACTATGAAGCTGATGAAGTTTATATTCCACACTTCTTACACACATGCACCCCTTCCTAGGCCCTGGCAAAATGTTCACATGGGCACGTGATTTTGTAAAAGTCGCATAAATAAGGTACTTTTATATTATTTTTTGAAAGAGGAACTGGATATCCCGCTGCCTGCAGTCGGTTCCCACCTTAAGGTGTATAATTCAGAGGCCAAGTGGGATTCTTCCACTGCTGTGGCTCCCTCGATGTTCCATGGGGACTGACCAGGGACCTGAGCGAGGTGTTGCAGGTATCTGAAGCTTACTTTTGTGTGACCCTCCCCTCTGCACCCTTACTCCAAGCCCCTAAACCCGCACTGTGCAATACAGTAGCCACTAGCCATGTGTGGCTATGGCATATACTTAAAATACGACTAGTCTAAATTGAGACGTGCTAGAATTCAAAGATTTAGTACGAAAAAAGAAAAGTGAAACATCCGATTAATTTTTTCTGTTGATCGACATGTTGAAATGATAATATTTTCAACATATCATGTTAAATAAAATATAAAAATTAATTTCACCTGTTTCTTTTTCCTTTCTTAATGTGGCTACTAGAAAAAATTAAATCACAGATTTAATTTTAATACATTCTACATATAATTTACATAATACATTCCATATTTATTTCTTTATATTTCTACTGGACTGCTCTGCCCTGGAGCATTGCTAACAAGTTGCTGGGGACCCCATCGTAACTCCCATGAGTGTTCAATGTGGAGAAAATTCACTTTGCAAGACAGACACTGAAAAGCCTATTTGGCTGCAGATTCCTGTGAAGCTACTGTGTGAAAGTCCATGTAAAACACATACTGGAAGACCACTAAGCCTCAGCAAACAGGAAAGTATGTTTTAGAAAGGAGAGAAGTTGGTATTGCTTGAGTAAGGCCCACGGCAGGTAAGCTCTTAACTTCCTCAATTTTCAAGCCTCCAATCCTGTCTGGATGTAACCTAAAAGTTCTGATTTTTATGGTCTATTGAAAAAACAATTCTTCTATGGCCTTCCTGCTCAAAGTATAATCCGAAAATCAACGGCATCTGCACCACTGGAAGCTTCTTAGAAATGTAGACTCTCAGGGCTGACCCCAGATTTATTGAATCAGAATCTATGTATTAATGAGACCCTCAGGTGATAAAGTCCAGAGTCTTAATGTGAAAGTATAATTACCTTTGGACGAACACATCTGTAATTCAAAACCCTGTAGCCCAGCAACAGGAAGGTGACTGAGCAGTTCAGGTATATCCTAAACTGTGATTTCCAGGAACTGGATCTCCTTTGTACACCTGCTAGAGCATCTTCTGTTCAGAGGTGTGATTGAGCATACCTTCATTGCACTGCAGACCCTTCCAGCCTGTGGCACAGGAACACCCATAAGGGTCTGGGAGACAGAACACGTAGGACTTGCATCCCTCTGGTCCACTACATTGTTCTTTACAAGTTCTGCCAAATGTGTGCAGTTCGCAAGCTTTGGGGGAGAAAAAATGCTGATTCAGAATGAAAACTGCAACTTCTTGAAATGCATGATTCTTCTTTTAAAGGGTCTCTCCTAGACCAGTGAACATGGAAAATAGTCAGTCTCAGCTGTGGTATGAGCAGGGTGACACCTCTTATGACCATTTTACAGATAATGAAACTGCCTCACAGAGAGGACAGGAAGGCTACCACCTATACTTGTGTAGGCTGTGCACTGCATAAATCTAGGGGTGACATTCACATTGTAGACATCACAGATTTTTGTATTTATTACAACAACTTTCCAGTGGTCGGCGATAAAGAGTCTTGAGGAAAGGGCACCTTTTTCTAATTCACGTAGAGGTACCATATGGCCTAGCTACCATTTAGCTTCCAATGCCATCTGTGTTCAGATAGCTAGAATTCTAGATCCAGCAATGGTGGTCTTTTAAATCCACAACTTATTCACCAAGTACTCTTGACTTACCCTTCTCACAGGTTCTCCCCATAAATCCCGGAGGGCAAATGCACTCTCCAGTGTCTTCATGGCAGACACCATTGTTCACACAAACAGTGCAAGGACGGTTGCATTCAGGTCCCCACTTCTGAGCTTCACATCCTTTTGTTAAGGAAAACAAGGCTGGGATAAGTAGAGTACATTTGCTCCACAAATCTTTACTGAACACCTACTGTGTGTCAGTCATTTTACTGGATACTGGTATCTAAAGATAAATAAAATATAGTCTCTGCTCTCTGAAAGCTAATCGTCTAATGTGGAAAACAGACTTGCAAACACAAAATAATGTAGAAACAAAGACAAAAGGTACCTAATCCTGTCTTGGGGATGGAAGACGGTATAAAGGAAGTCTTCCCAGAGGAAGTGGTATGTGCACTAGATCTGCACAACCTACCTTAGTAGAAGATAAGACTGGAGAGTGTGCTCCAGGCAAAGGTACGGCAGGGGAAGAGAGCATGACACGTTCAAGGAACTGCAGGTATGAGTAGAGCTAGAGTGGTGGTTCTCAAAGTGTGGTCCCTCCCAGTAGAATCCCCATCATCTGGGAACCTATTTGAAATGCACAACCCAGGCCCCTACCCTAAATCTACTGAATGAGAAACTCTTGGAGGGTGGCCCAGCAATCTATGCTTAACTCACCTTTCAGGTGATTCTGATGCGTATTAAAAGTTTGAGAACCTCTGGCCTAGAGTACGTGGAGGGGGGGAGAAGGCAAAAGAGGAAGCAGGAGCTGATAGCATCCATCTATTTTTCAGGTGGCGAAGCGGTTAAGAACTAAGCTACTAACCAAAAGGTCGGCAGTTCAAATCCCCTAGCGACTCCTTTGAAATTCTGTGGGGCAGTTCTACTCTGTCCTATAGGGTCTCTACGAGTCGGAATCGACTTGATGGCAATGGGTTATTTTCCAGGTGGAAAATATGTAAGAAGTGAAACAAGATACACCAAACTTAAAGTGCGAGGATGGTAAAATGCTTACAGACTCATTTCCTGGTTACCTCTCTCCAGCCCTTGGTGGTTCCCTTTATACAGGGATCAGTATGTCCTCTTGGAAAGGCTGAGATCTCAATTGTTGAATAGGTCCAAGGATACTTCTAATATAAGGAAAACCTAGGGGGTTTGGGTGACCCTTTGTCATCAGGAATTTAGTTTCACTTCTCATCTGAAAGGAATTGGTATCTTTGTCCCTGAATATTAGTTTCACAGTGGTAGGTTTGGACCTGTGCCCACAGCTGATGTAACCTTTTAATTTCTTTGGCAAAGGCTCATGGTTACCAGTATTTTCTCTAAAATAATCGGGAAACTGTCAACACAAACCCTCTCTTACAGCCCTCCACTCAATAGACAAAGCTACAAAATGTCTAAAAGATAATATTTATAATACCTTAATATATAAAGGAAAAAATGTTCTTGCACCATTTATTAGTAATTTCTTGTGAGCCAGGCCACAGGTTATTTGCACATGTTGAAAAGTAATGGTGACAGACAATGGAGATGAAAATGAGCTCTCTGTTACATTAAACTGTCTTTATCCCTGTACCTTCCCGTAGACCTGTCCCAGCTTCACTACTCAAGGGAGTAATAGGGAAGGTATCTTGGGGATGGAGAAGTCAGGAAAAGAATTCGTTAGTAAGCAACGAGTACACAGTTAGTCTTCTGTTACTTCCTTCAAAATCTTGTAATCCAGTAGTTGAAGAAACCATATATTCATGGACTAAAGAGAGAAATCACATAAACTTAATGCTTGTGGAAAATTTTTTTCAGGGAGAGAATTTATGGGGAGAAGAAATCCTATAAATATAACCAATGTGATTTTTTAATACAAATCTTTAAACAGCAACTACGCCTAGGCTTCAGTTCATCCTGGAGAGCTACTCTGTAGTTAAGAGAAATAGATAAATAGCTTTAGCTGCACCACATTTCTTACAGAACTTCGACGATCTTGTACTGAGACATACAAATACTCTTAAACAAGATGATTGTGGCCCAACTCAAAGTTTCATGGACATCAGACATTAGATAGTATAGTACTTCTCAACAGTTTTGTGGAAATACCCCTAACAGCAGAGGGAAATGGACATGTATTCCTAGCAATCTGAAAGGAGACAGCTTGAAGATAAAAAGATGTTTGAAGTTTTTTGCTTTACCTTAGTATTTCAGGGGAATTTTAAATTTAAGTCCATACTAAGTCATGTTTGTTTTGACATTTAAAAAAAACAACAATACTTTGAGCCTTTTACTATATATCAGCACCTGATGTTCCTGGAAAATGTGTCTCACTTCCCCTGGACTCTGAATATCCCTGGTAACCAGCTGGCCATCACTTGCTTCCAACTCATGGTGACCCCATGTGTCAGAGTAGAATTATGCTCCATAGAGTTTTCAATAACTGATTTTTCAGAAGTAGATCACCAGACCTTTCTTTCAAGTGACCTCCGGGAGGATTTCAACCGCCAACCTTTCAGTTAGCAGCCAAGCTCTTAACCATTGGTGCCAGCATGGGGTTGCCGTAAGTTGAGGACTGGTTTGATGGCATCTATAACAAATCTCTGGTATACGGGGTTATATCAGACTGGAGAGAAGATATATAAATAAAATAAGTGCAACAAAACTTTCACTGAAAATTATTGCTTTTTTTCCACTGGGACTCTCCTGTGGGTGGAATCAAAGCTGACTTCACCTGCCTCTCCAAAGCTGCAGAAACATCACATAGGGGTGAGGTAAATGTGAAGCAACCTGTTGGAGGCTGGATATTGCAGTTTTGCTATCGTCATAAATCATACACACATTTTTTAAAAGGTTGGTCTTACGAAAAGTGTAACCTGACATTTAATAGAAGAGAAGACAAGCATAGTAGTCATCCAAGAGGAAACAGATCCTGGATTATATGGGTAGATTCCTCTTGGTTCTGCACAAATAATCCTGCCTAAAAATACCTTGCTATATTTCATACCCACAAAGGTGACTGAGTGTGGGACCTAAACTATATGAACTACACTTTTTATACTTCTAGTGCCATATTGCAATGTCTATTTATCCACTTAAGTATCTACCTGCTCGATTGAGAATTACTCAAGAGGCAGGGATTCGTCTTATTAACTTTTTATTCTCAACACGAGCACAGTGCCTGGCACAGAGTTGTGACCAACACGTTATTGAATTAATCAATTAATTAACATAATACAAAGCAAAAAAAAAAAAAATCTTTTTCATGAATTAGAGATACCAATCATCAGAGAAATGACAGAAAAGTCCAGGGACTTAGACCTGAAGGCCTGAATATTTAATAGGATGAACATCTGGCATCGCTGGGACAAATTCAGGGCAAATCCTTTTGTTTTCTATAGATCAACTCCCAGCAAAAACTACTGGTGATGGTTGTTCTCCACTTTGGTAGTTACAATGAAAAAAGAAAGCTTCATCATTTGTTCTAACTCTTGCATTTTTCAAAACTAAAAATACAAAAAGCACATTAGATGATCTGGAAAGTGTGGCATTTACAAAGAACTTGATGTTTAACTAGATATCAGAACAACCCAAGAGCCCCAACTCATCCTCCGGTAGCAGACACCTTTCTGGGAGACTGCCCAGTTCACTGTGATTATCCTTTTTGTGGAGATGATCCTGCCATACAGGTGTGAGCCTCTAGTGCCCCTAATTGTACTATACGGCTCTGGCCTTGTCTACGGCTGATTGGTCTAGGGGTCCAGATCTGGCCAATATTAGACCAATCAGATTCTTTATCTTGGAAATTCAAAACTGGAAGTAAAAGAAACGTTGTAGAAGTTGAGATGTGCTAATGGTACTAGACTAGAGAGAAAGTCCACCACCTTCCACTGCTGAGCCTCAGATCTTCCCCGGAGCCTATCTTTTCTGCAACTTGCTTGTTAGCTTTTCTTTCCTTTTCCTACAAATCCTCGGTATTCTTCCAACTAATACCTAGTTTTTGCTTAAGCTAGCCAGAGTCAGTTTTTGTTACTTGCAACTAAAAAATCTGAAAAACTACTCCACCAATTGTGGTGGCCTCTCAATCACTTACTTCGGACTATCAGCCTGGTGAAGGCCGAGGTGAAGAGGTTTCCTCCTATGTACCTGGCCGAGTACACTCCAGCATCCTGGGGCTGAGCATGTGGCAGGTGAACTTCTAAAATATCGGGGACTTCGTGCCGGGGCACTGAATGTATGAAGGAACCTGGTAAGAGAGAGGAGTGGAGAACAATGGGTCATATGCAAACATTCCAGTTTCCTTGTCTGGCCTCTCTGTTTGATCAGTTTTCCCTGACCTGACCAAGAAAATGTGCTCTAGCATATTGCAAGTGGGAGAAGAATGAGAAGTCTGAATTGTTCAAAGTTCTCCCAACAGTCGTAAAAGGCATGGTGATAGAGCAGACAGATGAGTTTTTGAGCCCTACCACCAAATGCATGAAGAAGGGGATAGGCTAAAGTTCTTATCTTCTGCAGAGAGAGGTGAACATAGAGAAGTGAGCATACCTAAGTGGGAAATGTCAGGTAACCCTGCCAACTAATCAACTAATCAGGAGATTCCTAGAATCGCTACTCCAGCCTGGAAATCCTATCCACCTACAGGACCCAGAATGATCCCCATCAATATTTCAGCTGAATGAGGCAACTGCCACTAGGTGGTGTCAAACCATAGATGGGACCTAGACAGGTTTGGATTGCACAGGGGTACTCCCAGAACTGCTGCCAGTTGGCTTCCTGGGTTCAATTTGATAATTTCCTTAACCTCACAGTAAAACAACACACATCTTACACGGTTGAAGTTGGAACCCCATTTATCACATCATGATGGAGTTTTTATTGTATGTACGTACAACATGTATATATGTATCCTCAATTTAATTACTTTGATTAAGTAACCAAATACATTGCCTAAGAAGGCAGCTTCTATCATAGAATCTGATAAACTTGCATCATGGCAGCCGTACTTCAAACATGTGCTCCCAAGACCACAATAGGATAATGACCCTATATGTTATGTGCTATCTGATGTCTTGGAGCCCTGGTGGCAAAGTGGCTAAGAGAGCTCATCTGCTAACCAAAAGGTTGGCAGTTCGAATCCACCAGCTGCTCCTTGGAAACGGTATTGGTTAGTTCTACTCTGTCCTATGGGGCCACTATGAGCTGGAATTGATTCAATGGCAGCAAGTTTGGTTCTGGTTTATCTGATGTCTCACACCATGGTGTTGGAAGGAAATAAAACACATACTCACCATTTTTGTAAATCACTGCATCTTCTTCTTTAATCAACACCTTTTTGAAAGATATGTTCACGTTATCTCCCCTGTCCACAGTCATAGTTAAACTAGCTGGTAGGAAGGAAGCTTTTAAAAGAAAAAGAGAAAAAATTACCAAAAGGAGGTCACACAGTTTCTCCAGGAGCAACTGGAATTTGAGCTTTAGAAGATGGCACTTGCCAAGAGTTAGCTGGTTTTTATGATATGAAACAAGTGGTGGCTAAAGTGTTTTAATCTTTCTGAGGGTTAAAAAACCAAACCAAACCCATTGCCATCGAGTCGATTTCAACTCATAGCGACTCTACAGGACAGAGTAGAACTGCCCCATAGAGTTTCCAAGGAGTGCCTGCTGGATTGGAATTGCCGACCTTTTGGTTAGCAGTTGTAGCACTTAACCACTATACCACCAGGGTTTCCTTTGAGGGTTATATACCCTTTTAATAATCTGATGAAAGCTATGGTCATTTCCTTTGTAAAAGTGCAAATATACACACACAACATACACACACAATTTTTCCATACAACTGGTTGGGGAAATGGAGATTTTGAGTCTATTAACATCTATTATCAAAATAAGGCCTGACATTAACTATAAACTATATTAACTATGAATCTGCCATCTTTCTCCAATCCCTACCAAAGTGGAAAAGAACATAAATGGCCAGATATTTGCCAAATGGATTTTCCCTTGGTCTTTTTGTTTTGTTGTTACTGTTACTGTAGTCTCAGTTAATTCTAATGGCTTTAGAATGACTGAAGCATATTTCAGTGGGGTCAGCATAATGCTAGACTTATTACTAATAATGTAAATATTAGGATATTGAAGAATAAGGCAAGGATCAAATCTAATATCTTGCCTTCTATCTTTTTATTATATATATGAACTGATATAGTTATGGGACTGGACAATACTTGGAGGAAACTGGGAAAATTATTGTATGCTTGGTTTATAATACCTATTTGGAAACTTCTGTCTCTGTGTCAGCTTTGGAACATTCCATCGCCTGAGTCCTTTGGTTTGTTGGATACTATGTGTGAATAAAATCTTCTAATGTTGTCCCAGCCACTACAGTTTCTGAATTCCTTTAATGTGCCCTCTAATCTGCAAAGAGCCACAACTACAACAATGAGGGAAGATTAATTTTAACCTGTATCGAGTCAATGTTAAAGATGTAAGGAACACCACTAAAAAAAAAGATGCAGAATATATAACTTTCCTAAATATGAAGGGTAGGAGGAAATAAGAGAAGGAATAAAGAAAAAGAAGGCGATCCAACAGAAGGTAGAAACAGCAAAAAGGTCAAAGAAAAAGTATGGCCTACAGAAAAGACAACGTAAAGTGGTGAATCATGCGAAATATATCTGTCAGAGGTCAGAGAATCGCAGAATGAATTTTGAAAAACAGAATATAACTTCCTTATCTTTTTCATGAGCTACACCTTAAACATAATGACAAATAAGGTTGAGAATAAAGGAATAGAAAAATGTATACTAACTAAAAGAATCTGGTGTTTCAGTATTTCTATCAGAAAACAAATTGATTTTAAAGATAAACTATTAGGGATCAAGATGGTCTTTTTTTAACAATATTTTATTGTACTTTGGTGAAAATTTGCACAGCAAATTAGGTTCCCATTTGACAATTTCTACACAAATTGTTTAGTGACATTAGTTGCATTTTTCACAGTGTGTCAAAATTCTTTTTAATTGTGTTCTGGTTGTTCCTTTTCTAGTACTCTAGTTTCCCTGTCCCCCTATCTTCTCATCTTTGCTTTAGAGTGATTGTTGATCTTTTGGTTTCATATGGACGGTTTTTTTACTTGAACACTGTACTTATGGGTAATATTGTGTATTTTGTCTGCCAGTCTGTCATTTCGCTAAAAGGTGAATTCAGGGGATATTTTTGGATCAAAGTTTAAATAGTATCTCAGGATGATTGTCTCAGGGAGTCATCTAGTCTCAACTGGTCCAATAAGTCTGGACTTTTTTTTTTGCCCCTCGGTTTTTTTTTAATTTTTTTATTGTACTTCAGGTGAAGGCTTACAGAACAAATAGTTTCTCATGAAACAGTAGTACACATATTGTTTTATGACATTGGTTAACAACCCCACAACATGTCAACCCTCTAACTTGTCAACCTTTTTTTTGGTGAAAATACACATAGCCAAAGATACACCATTTCAAAATTTCTACATGCACAGTTCAGTGACATTGATTACGCTCTTCCAATTGTGCTGCTATTCTCACTTAAGATGAAGGCTTACAGAACAAAATAGTTTCTCATTTAACAGTTACTACAAATGTTGCCCTATGACAATGGTTAACAATCTCACAACACATCAACAATATCCTTACTCAACCTTGGGTTCCCTATCTGGCCCTTGTCACTGGACTACTGTACCTTGTAGTCTCATTTGGTTTTACGGGGCTGTCCACTCCCAGGCTGAACGGTGAACCTCAGAGATAACTTCACCACTGAGCTAAAAGGGTGTCTGGGGACCATACTCTTGGGGTTTCTCCAGTCTCCTTTAGGCCAGTAAATCTGGTCTTTTTTTTGTGAGTTAGAATTATGTTCTACATCCTTCTCCAGCTCTGTCCAGAACCCTTGGTTGTGATCCTGGTCAGAGCAGTCAGTGGTGGTAGCCAGGCACCATCTAACTGTACTGGACTCAGTCTAGTGGAGGCCTTGGTAGCTGTGGACCATTTGTCCTTTGGACTAATCTTTTCCTTGTATCCTGTTCTCTTCATTCTCCCTTGCTCCCAAAGGAATGAGACTAGTGGAGTATCTCAGATGGCCATTCACAGGACTTTTTAAGAATTTGAGTTCTGTTCCACGTTTTTCTCCCATTCTATCAGTGTCCATCTATAGTAGCCCTGATCAGAACAGCCAGTGGTGGTAGCTGGGTACCATCTAGTTCTTCTGGAAGACGGTCTTTAAATGACAATAAAAAGGAGCCATCCACCAGGAAGATATAATAATCCTGAACTTGTACTGGCACCAAAAAACAGAGCAATCAATGAAGTAAAAACTGACAGAGTTATAGGGAGAAAAAGAAATCCACAACATAGTAGAAACTTTTAGAACATGATTACTAATCAAATAGACTGAAATTTATTAGGGAAAAAATAAAAGGGATTTGAATGACACAATTGAAGATCTATTGGCTATTCATAGAACCCTGTGCCCAGTTATCTGAATACATGTTATTTTCAAGCATAGTGTCTGCATGTTAAGCTACAAAGCACCTCTCCATGAATGACAAAGAATCTATATACAAATTAACTGACCAGAATGCATCTAAAGAAGAAAACATTTGCACCCTAAGGTCTGAACCCCTGTAGTGTTTCAGTCCAAGTCCAAGCCTTGAGGACCTGAGGGACTCCTACTGAGGAACTTGGAGTGAATCAGGAGGTCTCTGTGCCTTTGTTCTCATCTGACTTGAGGTTTTGGGATCAGTGGCTTGAGAGAGGCTGGTCAAGTGCTGTGTGGATCTTTGGCATAGAGAGCTGCTCTGTGAGGGCAGAAGATGCCTCTGAACCACAGTCAGAAGGAGCTGAACTTGTCCTCAGCGGTGGGCTGTGTCTCTGACCCAGTCATTGTGCCCTGTCAGGACTCCCCAGTGTCACCAGGTATGTGATTGCCTTTGGTGCAGGTGCAGATGATGACACAGGGCAAACCCAGAGGGAGAATGGTGTAGAACGAAGAGCACTGTCAGTGTTGGAATCGATGGACTTGAATCCATCCTCTGCTACTTACTGCACATCTTGGAGAGAGTTACTTCACCTCCGCAAGTCTCTGTTTCCTCATCTGTGACTAGGAGGTAATATCTACCTTTAAAATGTTAAGAATATTAAATGATGTAAGTCAAGCCCTTATTGTTGTTGTGATTAGTGGATTTTTACTGATAATGAGTTGATTTTGACTAATAATGACCCCATGTAACAGAGTAGAACTGCCCCATAGGGTTTTCTGAGCTGTAATCTTTATGGGAGAGATAGGTCTTTCTCCCGAGGAGCTGCTGGGTGGGTTCAAACTGTCAACCTTTTCAGTTAACAGCCAAGCTCTTAACTGTTCCACCACTAGAGCTCCTTAGTCAAGCCTTTCAAAAAGAAAAAAGCAAAACCAAACCTGTTGCCTGCCTTTGGGTCAATTCCGAACCACAGCAACCCAACAGGACAGAGTAGAACTACTCCATAGGGTTTCCAAGGCTGTAATATTTATGGGAGCAGACTGCCACATCTTTCTCCCACGGAGAGGCTGGTGGTTTTAAACCACTGACCTTTTGGTTAGCAGCCAAGCGCTTAGCCACCGCACCATGAGAGCTCCTTAGTCAAGTCCCTAAGTGCTTAGAAAAGGTCAGTGTCCTTTCCAAACATAAATAAATGGCAGCACTGGTGTGATGACATTTCTAATATGAACATGATTGGGAGCTTTCTTGAAAGTATTAAGATGGGACCAGCCAGGTAGGGAAGGCAAGCAGGGATCCAGGCAGGAGTAATTCATGGGATATCTTCTCACACTGGCAAGTTGCTTCATTTGGCAATCCTAGGTCATTTGCTCTAACACGCTCCCGGCTCTGAGAAGTTCTCTTGACCGGTTGAGAATTTTTTCTGACCAGTTCACTTTATTGTTACTTTCTATGTGCTTTGTTTACATTTTCTGCCCCTTTGTATGAAGGGTGTTTAGCTGACCTTGTGACTTCTTATTCTCAGCATTGTAGTCTGAAAAGACACCGAGATTCCCCAATAGGCTCAACGCAAATGTAGCTGTTTCCCTCCACTTCGTGGCTCCTTCTTATTTCACACTTTGTGCCTTGTAAACCACCTGTTTTCACAGGTAGGAACATGGACACGCCAGAGTGCCACTGCTGCTGGCAGTCTTCGTCCAGCCTGTCACCTCTTGCATTGTCTCCAGGCTGATTTTTCTCTGCTGAGTACTAATTAAGGGGTCCAAACTTAGTGTTGCACCTTGGGCTTCCCAATGACACAGGAACCTGGCTCCCACTTTATCTGCAGTAGACATATATTGATGTCCCTTGACTTGACTGGATCATAAAAACAATAGTCACTTTCGGTGGCTCAGTGGC